ACCCATTATAAACGAGGCATTTGTTGCATCCAGTGGGGACATAATTATGGATTATAATGACTTATACTGTCTTTTGACGCATTGCATCGTGCCGCATAAACATAAACGGTCAAAGCCCATCCGGCGATCCACAGGGCGAAGTTGATGTATTTCCTCAGTGACCAGCAAGGATCAGCTCCAGGCATGACGAAACGGATATCGTCCTCTTTTGGAAGGACAAAGTAGTTTCGCTTTCACAACGAAACACACAGCGCCTTCACGACATGGCGGCGGCAACAACAATACTACAGCGAGAATAAAAGTTACGCCGTCTTTCTTTGCGTGAACATTTGGGTGGCGTTATGCAAATCTTCCCACATAGTGACGTAGACATGTGGGGGCGTGTTAGAACGAGCCGTTTTAGGTAGGCGTGGCTGACTCTTAACTTTTATTAAGAATATCTCTTTGGATTTGAGACTTTAGTCTTTGCAACTTTACAGATCTTCTTTATGCACCAAGAGCTTGTAACACTCCAAAGAAAAAGGAAAAAGTTAAATCGCATCATATGACCCCTTTGAAGTTGTTCAAATTAAGTTCTTAGCATTGCATATGACTAATCAAATTACGTTTTAATATATTTACGGTAGGAAATTTACAAAATCTCTTCATGGAACATGATCTTTACTTAATATCCTAACGATTTTTGGCATAAAATAAAAATCAATAATTTTGACCCATACAATGTATTTTTGGCTATTGCTACAAATATTCCCATGCTACTTGTGACTGGTTTTGTGGTCCAGGGTCACATTTAATAATTTAATACAAATATAATATTATACAAACCTATCAAAAATGGTGGAAGGCAAAAACATTCATTCTTCTAATTCTTCTTAATTCTTCTAAAAAAAAATAAAACAAAAAAACAGTTATGTTTTTGTTCATTTAAAAAATTTTGTCAGGGGGAAAAAAGTGATTGAAAGTTTATTGGAGTAATTGAAGTCGAGGAGTCTATTCCATCAACTCCTATCCAAAAAATCTAGAATTGAACACCCCTAATTAAGTGTACAGCCCTACTTTTTTTCATCCAAAATTTGCAGTTCATCCACATTTTCTGCATCATGGAAATCATAGGGCCCTACAAATAGTGAAGGATTCTTATTTGTCTTTCCCACCCACCCCCCATTTCAGCTTTTGACTCATTGCAATATTTAAATTGGTGCCGTTTATAAATTTCACTAGTGTTTCACTAGTGATCTTTGACTTTAGGGACCCCACTGTAAATATTTCATAAATTGAGGTTTTATCAGCGAAGGACGTTGCTTTATATATTGTCCTTAATTAGTTCAGAGCATTAGGATGAAATGAGTGGTTTTGAATTTTAGAATGAAAGTATCACAACCTGTTGTTCTTGTATTTTTACAGGATGCTTCCTAAAACTTGCCAGATGCTGCTGTTCTCTGCCACATTTGAAGACACCGTGTGGAACTTCGCAAAGAGGATCGTTCCCGACCCCAACATCATTAAACTGAAGCGCGAGGAGGAAACTCTAGACACCATCAAGCAGTACTACGTCATCTGCAACAGCAAGGAGGAGAAATTCCAGGCTTTGTGCAACATCTACGGAGCCATTACTATCGCACAGGCCATGATCTTCTGCCACGTAAGTGCAATATCATTTGTTGATATTGAGGTGTTATTTCAGAGTAAAACCAAAAGAAGTAGTAATGCATGACCATGAGATTTGCCATCACAGACCAGGAAAACCGCCGGGTGGCTGGCAGGAGAGCTGTCCAGAGAAGGCCACCAGGTGGCGCTGCTCAGTGGAGAGATGCAGGTGGAACAGAGGGCAGCGGTCATCGAACGCTTTCGCGATGGCAAGGAGAAAGTTCTCGTTACCACTAACGTCTGTGCTAGAGGTATGACAGCTATACCTACAATCTCATCTTTAGTTCAGACTACGCAGATTTCGCCTGATGGCTTCATTTCTTCTACCAGGTATTGATGTGGAGCAAGTTTCAGTCGTCATCAACTTTGATCTGCCAGTGGACAAGGATGGAAACCCTGACAATGAGACATACTTGCACAGAATCGGGCGCACTGGGCGATTTGGCAAGAGGGGGTTGGCGATAAACATGGTGGACAGCAGATTTAGCATGAACATCCTCAACCACATCGAGGAGCACTTCAGTAAGTTCATAAAAATCAAACAAATGACATTTTGATGGGTCAGGGTTGTAAAAATTCTGTCATAATTAGGGTTGGGTATCGAAAACCGGTTTCAAATTTCCAAGAACCAGGTATTCGATAAGACGCATGCATTTCGATTCTGCTTAACAATTCCTGCGTTCGCATTTTCATGTGATTTAAAACGGTTAAGTGCAGGAACGGAAAGAACTTGCGCCTTGTTTGCGTGCAGCGCGAGTACAGAGAACAGCGGTCTCGGTGCGGGTTCCCAGCTTGTGTCTGTTCTCCAACCGTTACGTGCATTTCTCGATTTTACTAGATTCTCATTTTTATGAACCAATATCGATTCTTAAATCCCAATCGATTCTGTTTTCAGTTGATGAATAAAACCGTACATATAGTTCGCCTCCCATCCAATAAATCGCAATAGGCTAAGCTTTGTGCGTTGTTACTTTTGATATGAAACAAAGTCTCAGATTTCAATTTCTGTCCATTTTATTAGGAAATTAAAGCAATAAATACGTTTTGGTGCTCTTTAATGTGGTCTGATAGATCGCTGTAGCTTGAACTGGGTGCTTGCCTGTGCGTAATCAAACGCATTGCAAGAGACTGGTGACAGTTTTATTTTTGTTCTGGAGCTGATGATCCTGCGCTCTGCTGCCACACTGGAGCGCACTCACCACCCACTGGACAGGGGTGGGAATTACAGTTATAAATTACAATAGATCATCCTCAGTGTAATCTGTCAAAGTGACGGACAGCCTTCAGATTTTTCCGTCACTGCTAAAAAAATTCTTTAAATGATGGAAAATTTTGATGGAAAACAGCAGAGTCTGTGATATTCTGTTGATTTATTAATAGGAAACAATTTAGACTAGTCCCTCATTTTCTAAAACGCAAAAATATACAAACAAACAAATGTTTGCAAAAATGCTTACAATAGTTCATAATGCATTAGTCTTAATTTTGTGAATTGGACAAGGCATCGCACTGGAATAAACCATCTAAAAAGCCTGACTCCGACTACAGTGTTTTTAAATGATACCGGGTTTCCGCGGGGTCTTAAGAAGTCTTACATTTAGTTGCATCAAATTTAAGGCCTTAAGTCTTAAATTGTACAAGAAAGTCTTAATTATGATTTCAAGAGGTCTTAAATTTGGGGATGGAAAGACCAGAATTGCAATATGCTGAATGTGATGATTAAACTTTAAAAGGCTATGATTTCATGAGCGCTGTGCCTGCACGTTCAAAGTCCGGTGCTGCGCTGCTTTGTGTTCTGCCGTTACCGGGGAAATAGTTGTAGGTCTGCCAAAAGCGTCACCTGCTGGCAGAGAATGATTGTGCATTTTCAATAAAACTGTTGTTTTGTTTAGATTTCAGACAAATGCAAAAATCGACCCATGTTTTTACCCTGCAAACACGCAAAGCTTTAAATGTGAACTGGTAGATCGATAAGAAGACAATGCATTTTAAAAATCTAAACAGTATAGTGGTGTGTGATATGTATGGTTTGTGATAATATCGTAATTGTTTTAACGATGTGCGATTTGATATTATTGAGTATATCACGAAAAGCAAACAAAACACACCTACAGAGTGCACACATACATTACGTGAAGAAGTCTAACTTAGTAGTTTAGACTAGTGCGCGTTCTTTCACTGCATGAATCAGGCTATTAAAATGCATTAGAATTATCACATAATTTAAGATATGGGTATTTATATAATTTCATATAGTTAATATCACACGAAGAGTGGCGTTTTTTTTCCCCTCAAAGTCAGCGTGATTACAAATGTGATTGATTTTATACAACAGTTCAATAAACAAGAAGTTAATATTAAGAGACTTACATTTTAGACACCATATTTTCTGTTTTTGCTCTATTTCTCCAACAAAAATAATTTCAAACACAGCAACAGGATGCTGGTTTGTTCCTGAATGAATCAGCCGTTTAAATGATTTGGTTAAATCGCAATGACTGCCTTAACAGTGACTTGCTGCCACTTACTGGTGGTTTTAATTTCTCATTTAAGGTACCCTAAATGCCACTTCGGCGGCAACAACAATACTACAGCGAGAATAAAAGTTGCGCCGCCTTTAAGTGAACATTTGGGCGGTGTTATGCAAATCTTCCCACATCATGACGTAGGTATGTGGGAGCGTGTTAGAACGAGCCGTTTTAGGAGGGCGTGGTTGACTCTTAACTAGGGATGTAACGATTAACCGCGAGCCGGTTGAAAATCGATTCAAATATGTGACGATTCAAATCGGTTGAGATGCTAAACAAATCGCGATTCAGTTAGGGGTAGGAGTTTATATGAATATATGTCTGAGGGGAACTTACTGTTAGTCTTTGCAACTTTACAGATCTTCTTTATGCACCAAGAGCTTGTAACACTCCAAAGAGAAGGGAAAAATTGAAATTGCATCATATGACCCCTTTAATTGATACAATAATTTATTGATAATAACTGTTTAAATTAATATAATAATTCATACTTTTGACTCATCCATTTTCTTAAGTGGTTTAAAGGCTGAAATGCGAAGTTTATCATAAAACTTTTTTTTATATTTATAAAACGTTTTGTTTTTGTGAAAACTTGTATCTGAACTGTAAATTGTTTTTTACAGTAATTTTACGGTTTAAAATGGTATTATAGACATTGCCCTACCCCGCTCATATGGTATTAATTTTATTTGTGCAGGTCTTAAAAAAGGTCTTAAAGTCTTAAATTTGAGCTTAAAAATCCTGCAGAAACCCTGTGATAACTTACTATAAAATCTGGTTTCATCACACACACTGAGAACCTTCACAGATTTTCATCTCTCGGATCCCAAACATGCACACTAGGGGTGTTAGAAATACTAATCGATTCTCTCTTCAACGATTCTAGAATCGATTTTGAACATTTGAGAGTCGATTCTTAGCTTGTTTTTTTTCCTGCATATTGCACGTGTGCATGCTAGAGACAATGGCAGCAGGCTTCATTGCACAGAATATGCGCTGTGAGACACGTGCGCATTTCTTTACAGTGTGTGCTTCCACCCGCCGTTATTTCAGTCTTTCACCTAGTCATGCTTTTGTTTATGCCGGTTGAAATGCAGTACGTATTAGATGCACAAAATCACGTGCAGATACTGAGAGTAGTTTTTGTTTATCACTTGTATTGTCTTTCTCCCTCTTTATTGCTTTATATTTGCTTGTATGTTTTGCAGCTATATAGTTGTTTAAATTCTTAACAATTGTTCTGATTTATTATTAATTTGTAATTATTTTTAAAAGTAGCCCGCTTATATAATTTATTACAAATGCACAAAATAAATTTGATATAAAATGAATATGAAAATGTAGCCATGTGCCGTAATATTGAAAATTGCGGATGCGATGCACCGTGATATCGAATTGAAATCCAAATCGAATCATGAAACCAGTGATAATTCACACACCTAATGCACACATTACAAGATCTGAAAATCGCAGCATATCACACACTGCAAGATTATTAAAGTTTATGAGCACCTCACGTGATCTCGCTTCATCTTGCATAGCAGATTGTTGTTTACATTTCCACAGCTAATGTTTACTAGCAGCTAATTTGTTAGCTAGTGCACTATTTTCACCTGTTATGTTCAAAACTGAGGCGATTTCTTCTAAGCTCTCCTCTTTGTCCATATGGTTTTGGTAAGGCAGCTAGTTTAACGGTCACATATTAGCTTTAGTGAAAAGTACTCAACGTAATTATAGTTGTAATCATCCTGATTTAAAATCCTAAATATTGGGGCAGCCCTAATGCGTCACAGATCGGTATGTTTAAGATTTGGTCTGTAAATGCCTCATTGCCAGATAATCTGGGCTGAACATCAAAACTGACTGAGGTCGTTGACAAGATATTATTATTATTATTATTACATTATATCATTTTTTGACCATGTAGTGATTTTTATTTTTTTTTTTAACAAAGTGTCTTAATGTTATAAATATATAATGGTTTCAACTAACAAATATTTATTTTTATTTTCTCTCTCTCTGAGATCAACATTTCACAGCTGCTGCTGAAAGAACTTAGCTTTTAAACCAGGAGGACAATTCCATAATTTAACTTGCATCCATGCTTCTATTTATTGCCATGTTTTCATGATTCAGAATGTGGGTTAATTCAATTATCTGTTTCCTATTGCAGATAAGAAAATCGAGAAGCTGGACACAGATGATTTGGATGAAATCGAGAAAATCGCCAACTGAGCGGCCGTCTTTGTTCTTCTAATAGGACTGTGCTCGCGCTACGTTTTAAATCAGAGGCTGGAAGCAGAGCTGTGCCAGAGAGGATGTTTACATGTGGAGCAGTTTTATCTCAGATGGGGTTTTTATAGGTTTTGTTTAAACACATTTCACTCTTTGTACTTGTTAATACATTTTGAATGTCTAGTCTTAACGTCACGTGTACGAGAATGCTACAGCAGCGGTCTGGGATAGAGGCATGAGGAATATGCCTTTCAATATATCCACAATTTCATCGTGAACCTTTTAAATTGACTTTGCCTTCACACAAAGCGTTATATTGAGTTCCAACATGGGACTCCAAACCAAGGACTCGTATTGTCGTAATTGCGGATGAGATTTTTGTGGAACGAGCTGAATTTTCTATCACAAGCGTGCTACGCTTCATGAAAAACGAGCTTTTTCCGTCAAGTTTGTGTTGTGTGAACTCTGGGTGCAGCTATATGTGATTTGGTGTGACACTTCAAACTAGGAGTCAAAATGCAGGGTTTATTTAACATATTGAGAGATTGCTGTTATTGTGTTATACATTAATACTTGATACCTCATGACATTGCTACAGAAGGGATGCTGGCAGTTATTGGCTTCGAATTAAACCGAAACGGTTGCCAAAATCCTTTTATTGGTAGGAAATTATGCAAAAGCCAAAGATTTGTGCCTCCATTGGATTTGCTAGTATTTAACATGGAATAACACAAACGGATCTATTCATCGTGTACAAATATTGTCATACATATTTAATAAGTACAAAGAGTGAAACTGTTGCTATATTATGGGGTTTTTATAGGTTTTGTTTAAACACATTTCACTCTTTGTACTTGTTAATACATTTTGAATGTCTAGTCTTAACGTCACGTGTACGAGAATGCTACAGCAGCGGTCTGGGATAGAGGCATGAGGAATATGCCTTTCAATATATCCACAATTTCATCGTGAACCTTTTAAATTGACTTTGCCTTCACACAAAGCGTTATATTGAGTTCCAACATGGGACTCCAAACCAAGGACTCGTATTGTCGTAATTGCGGATGAGATTTTTGTGGAACGAGCTGAATTTTCTATCACAAGCGTGCTACGCTTCATGAAAAACGAGCTTTTTCCGTCAAGTTTGTGTTGTGTGAACTCTGGGTGCAGCTATATGTGATTTGGTGTGACACTTCAAACTAGGAGTCAAAATGCAGGGTTTATTTAACATATTGAGAGATTGCTGTTATTGTGTTATACATTAATACTTGATACCTCATGACATTGCTACAGAAGGGATGCTGGCAGTTATTGGCTTCGAATTAAACCGAAACGGTTGCCAAAATCCTTTTATTGGTAGGAAATTATGCAAAAGCCAAAGATTTGTGCCTCCATTGGATTTGCTAGTATTTAACATGGAATAACACAATCGGATCTATTCATCGTGTACAAATATTGTCATATTTAATAAGTACAAAGAGTGAAACTGTTGCTATATTTAACAGATGCAGTGTAAAGAAAGCAGATGCATCGCGGCATTCGTTGTAAGAGTGCTCCGGAGCGGAAGCATTATTTGTGTTCCCAGTCCCAGACTGCATTGAATTGGAAATGATCATGTTCTCGTACACAAATGCAACCGAAGGCTGTGCCACATTCCCATTTGCAGCCGCCTTAAAATTGTAAAAGGCAGATGTTAGCGCATCCTCTACAATCTCACTGTATTCTTCAGGGTAGCCGTAGCAAATTATTATTTTATATTATGGGACATTTTAATTTAACCACTCGAAACTCAACCGGCTCCATTATATATGCATTATGATAGACGTATATTTTATTCGTTGGTATGCGAGTAGTGAGGTTGGGGTAAAGTGTGTCAGTCGCATCTTTGAAGGGAAGACTTTTCTTAATCGATTAAATATATCTCCTGATGCCTTGTTCATTTTCTCAGTTTGGTTCAAGCTGTCAATCATACCTGTTACAATGATATTAAATGGAGGGTTTTATTTTTTTGTTTGCCTTTTTTTTTTTTCTTGCAAACAAAATTTGAAATCTATGATTAAACTAAAGGACCGTCTAGGAACCAACACTTGATCTGGTGTCGCATCGGATAATAAATGGACTTGTCTCTGTTATCAAACACATTCCTGCATAATCATTGCATTCTTTTATTAGTGTTTAACTGAAATACCAACCGGATCTCATGAAAGCGCGTATAAATAATAGCCAAATAAAAACGAAAACTCGTGGTTTTGACACGCAAAAATCGACTTTGGCGTGTATATGCTACGCGATGGGTAGGTTTAGGGTTGTGGGGTAGATGCTTATCATATGTACGCGAAAACTGCGTATCATATGTACGCCAACAAATTTCGTATCATATGCACGCGAAAACTGCGTATTATATGCACACCAAACACATGCATATCATGCACGCCAAAGTCCATTTTTGCGTATCAATACCACGAGTTTTTGTTTTTATTTGGTGTACTATTTATACGCATTTTCATGAGACCGAGCTCGAAATACCCATCATGCTTGAGGACAATTCAATAATGATGTTTCCACTGCACCACAAGGCTGCTCATATCTGTGGGTCACGTTCACCTCAATGAAGATGTTTCTGTAACATTCATTTACTCTCATTCATTCGTGTGAAAAATGTTTTGATAATTTTTTCAACAAACATGCACTTGCAGCTGACAAATCAGCCTTTTGAAATGATTAATAATTTCAAGTGTTTCACCTCAATTGAATGTTGATGACAAAGTATGTATCTCTTTGAAAGTGATCTGTCTTGACAGAGTCTGTGTGTTTGGAGCAGATCAGTGACCGTCTGGATGTTACAGGATGAGGAATACTTGCTTGCTGCGGCTCTTGATAAAACTGTTAAACAAATCCAGCACCTCTCAGGTCTGCTGCTTTTGTGGTGATATTGATGTCTGAATGATGTGTGCTACAATAAAACTACGACTCAAATTGTCTTTGACCAACTTTTAGTAATTTTCTTAAATATATACACTATATAATTGCTTCAAATATATTTTTATATTATCAATAGTACTTAAATATTTTTTATATATTTAAGGATACGTTT